AAGGTAAATCAATAAGCTAACCAAGTACAATAAGAAGGTAATTTTAGTCATGAGGTAGAAAGCATTCCCTCAGAAAGGACATATCATTCATTATTCATTCATGTCATACTCAATTACTCCTAATTTGCATGACTTGGATATTGACAAGACAAACAAAGCGTAATCTAGCAGTAAAATAAGACTTTAAACTAGGCTTCAAAGACTCGTAAATTATATTAATGACAATGCTTGGCAGAACACACACACTCAAAATTTTTTTTTTTAAATATATCATCATCTCACTCATATGCTGTACAAAATTCATGTTACTGAACACTCCCACAGTATGACTCTCTTTTAAGGGTTTTGTTTTAAGCTCCCACTGACAATTGATAATGAGACAAGAAATGTCTTGATTTAAGCAGTCTAGACCACCAGCTTTTGATCCCTTGGGCCTCTCTCTGTGCTAACAAAGAGTAACTTGAAACATATGAGTCATAAAATGTAATGACTAGTCAGTCTTGAATCACCAGAATCAGCTTAATGTTACAAGATAAAACAAAACATGATAAAAAAAAAAAATAATGGTATTTGCTCTATCTAAAACACTACATGAGCCTTAATATACCTTTTATCAATATCTGTTATCATTCAATCATCCCCTTCATCACAATCACTTCTCATCACTAATCCTGCAGTCTTAATCGCTCATCACTAACCATGTGACCATAATAACCACTCATCAACCAAACTTTAAAACCCAATTCACCACTCAGCAATAACTGAAAACCAGGAAGCCCTAACAACCAATTACCATTAATTATATAGCCCTAAGCACCATTCAATACTAATCATGCAGTCCTAATTGCAAATCATCATGATTTCTACAATCCCAATCACAAACTTCCACTATCCCATTTATCATTATACATAAAACCCCAGTCACTAATTATTACCATTCATGTAACCCTAAATACTGAATGTCAGCCACATTACTCAACCATATATAGGTTAGGTCACATGTCCCCATACAACTGACACTTGAGCTAGTTCCATCAACCTACCCATCCTGTATCCTATCCCAGACAAACCTCAATCAATAATCACAAGAGACTGACAGCCACAACTACCAATCACAGAGCCTGTGATTGATAAGCACTTATCTATGAGATAACAATCTGCACTTGGGAGATTATCGTCCAGCCTAATATTTAAATGCTAAATATAAGAATAAAGCCTAAAATTAAAAGGCAAGATTACATATAGTATGTATGAGTAATAGCTGCCTGGAGCACTTAAAACCAGGAACAGGATCAGCTTCTCATACTGAAATTCTTTAAAACATATTAAGCCTAAACAGGAGATTCCATTGGGTACTTGTATTACAAGGATCCCTTAAATCAAAGACAAGAACAGCATCTTAAATAACGGACAAGCACAGCATCATCAATGAAATACAAAAGAAGTATGGTAGAAAAATCCACAACACAAAAACTAGATTTTTTACATCATGGGTTTTTCTACCATAGTATCAACATGGTAGAGTGTTTTACCATTCAAGAAAAGTATCTTAAACTGATGAAAAGGACAGCAAAAGTCTCCTAAAATCAAAGATATCCTTCAGCATCCCATATCAGAGAGAGGGACAGCACGCCGAGATCCTAAACACCTAAATTTTGCTTGCGGAAAAGGACACTTCATCAGCCATACCACGAATACAAGGAACACAGCATCGACAAACACTCACAAAACCAAAAGATGAACCCTACAGATAACACAGCGAGAACCTGCACTTCATCACTCATATTTACTCTTACTTACTCATACTTACATATACCTACTCATACTTATTCATTCACTCCTCATTCTCCAATTTCACTCAACCACACATTCGCTCACACTTAATAGCTCGTTCACTCATTCACGCAAGTGCACCCAAGTAAAATACCCCTCCTTTACACGCAAGTCCATCTGCACTCAAGAGAACTGTTGAGCGAATGACTAAAACAGGCTCATCCTGAACTGGGGGAAAAAAGCAAGGCTATCTTGATTAGTAATCGGCATCTTTAACTCTAGACTCTGACGTGTTGCGCTGTGACATCATCTTTTCCTTCCCTTATAGCTTAATGGATGTGTGTGTGTGGGGTGGGGGATGGTATACAGTAATGTTTGTGTATATAGATTGATAAACAGATAATAGATTAACAGATTACTATGTTGTGATATGTACAACGTTTGATGGATAGATTGATAGCTAGATACATGTATGGACCGACCGACCGACTGACCGACCGACCGACCGACCGACCGACCGACCGACCGACCGACCGACCGACCGACCGACCGACCGACCGACCGACCGACCGACCGACCGACCGACCGACCGACCGACCGACCGACCGACCGACCGACTGATTGATAAACTGACAGTCTTACACTATTTTTGCTTTTAATCTTTCCTTTACGCTTCCTCCCCCCCTCACTCTCACTCTTTCTCTCACTCTCACTCTTTCTCTCACTC